TCCTGACTTCCCTCCCACTCCTCTTCCCTTTCTTCCCTCTGTGATTATTCAATGAGTAATTTCTTAGGTCTTCTGAGTCATTTGAGGAGTTGTTCTGCTCTTTCCCAGAAATACACTGATAATGAATAGAATAAAAATGAGGCTAGTACCACGAATCAAACGGGATCATGCAGGAATTGGACGTGAAATCTGAAGCCAGCCTGTTTATGCTTTCGCCTTCCTGCTTCCACCGCATTTACAGGAAGTCGTGGGGCTGTGTGGGATAACTCATGTTGCTCTCTCTGACTGCCACCCTCTGCTCTTCTGTGAATCACTGGACTGCGTGCCTGTCTGCCTGCAGTTCCTGTGTTCCCAAAGCACCACAGCCACAGAGCCTCCAGCTCAGAGCGGCGGGAGTGTACTGTAGCAGGCAGAGCCATCCTCCCACGTGTGGAGCATGAAGAACACAGGCCTGGCACCTGTGTGCCCATGACACGGAACTGATGGCCAGAGCTACATTTCACCAGATGTGACAGAGGACAGTTTTTCAACCATGATACCGATAACAAGAATTGCTTTTCAAATTTGATGTTTGGTAGCTCCCTGTTGGTCTCCAAATTCCTTCCTCTTTTTTTTTTTCTATTTGTTCAAAGATACGGAAAGGCGGCATCACCTAAGATTGGCAAAACCCATTGAGGGGTCCTGCTCTGCCAGACGCGATCCTCATTCTTGTGAATTCTGTAATAAGGATTTCAACAGTCAACACTGACAGTTTACCGTGTATTTGATGCATGTTCTGTAAATTCTCATGACAGTGCCACACAAATGTGTGCATGTGTACCCCTTCCTAGGTTCCTGGTAGCTTGCTGTGATCACATAGTGGTTAGTACTCTGGGTTGTGTATACTCTTCTTAATGGACTGGGAAGTGGGAGCTCACAGTGGCTCAGTGAGTGACTGAGCTGGGCTGGAACCCAGGCAGCCAGAAGCATGCTTCAGGCTAGTTTGGTGGGCTCTGCTCTCTCAGGCTGGGCCCCTGCAGGTAAATGCTGCCAGGCGTTCCTGAGCTGCCCTTTTGGTCCTAGTTCATTGACTGACTAACTCCAAACCCCTCTTCCCTGCCTTAGTGTCTTGCTGACCCATGGGGCTTGCTGTATGCTGCCCACCTTGTTTTTCTTCAGTCCTTGCTTCTTTGGACCAACCCTGGTATCCATACATGGCACTGACCATCTGCCCTGAACACCTAAAACAGCCCTCAGCTGATGGCTGACTGCATGCTGGCACTGGGCCAGGTGCTTTTGGTAGATCCAGGAATAAATGAACACGTTGGATTTGTGCAGCATGCAGACTGCTGTATTCTTAGAACAGAGTTTTGTTAACTTTGGCATAGAGCAGGCAACATATTTGTCCTGTTCTTGAGACTTCAAGCGTCCTGGCTATTTCAAGTTTGGTTTGCATAGAAAAACTCAGGTAATAGTTCCCACTTAAATTTTCTGCCCGAGGGTTTTCTTTTACTTTTAAAAAATGTTTATATACTTATTTTCCATCCACTTAGATGACAGAGCGAGAGCAAGAGAGAGAGAGGGATCCACTTAGATGACAGAGCGAGAGCAAGAGAGAGAGAGGGATCCTCCATCCACTGGTTCACTCTCCAAATAATGCAACAGCTGGGCTGCAGAGAGTGAAACCAGGAGCTCAGAACTCAATCTGGGTCTAAACACATGGGTGGCAGAGGCCTAAACATCCGAGACATCTTCCGGTGCTTTCTCAGGTACATTAGCAGGAAGCTGGGTTGAAAGCAGAGCAGCTGGGACCAGCACTCTGATATGGGCTTCCCAGGTAGGAGCTTAACTCACCAACATAATGCTCACCTTTTTTTAATTTTTTTTTTGCCCACTCTTCTTTTACCTTTTTTAGAAACCAATGTTACTGAAGTATAATTAACATACTTTAATATTTCCCCATTTAAAGTATATAATTCAGAAAATTTTAGCAAATTTATTTTTTAAAACTATTTATTTGCAAGAGTTACAGAGAAGGAGAGGAAGAGGAAGAAAGAGGGAGTGGGAGAGAGAGATATCTTGCATCTGTTGATTTACTCCCAAAATGGCTGCAATGGTCAGGGCTAGGTCAGGCTAAAGCCAGGATGCAGGAGTTTCTTCTGGATCTACCACATGGGTGCAGGGGCCCAAGTACTTGGGCCATCCTCTGTTGCTTTCCCAGGCACATTAGCAGGGAGCTGGATCGGATGTGGAGCAGTCAGGACTTGAACCTGTGCCCATATGAGATGCCAACACTGCAGGCAGAGGTTTCTCCTTCTACACCCCAGTGCTGGCCCTAGGAAATTTATTTATTTTTTTTTTTCAGAAGATTGATGTAGTAAGTTAAGCCTCTGCCTGAAGTGCTGGCATCCCATTTAGGCACCTCTTTAGCTGCTCCTCTTCCAATCCAGCTCTCTGCTGTGGCCTGGGAAAGCAGTAGAAGATGGCCCAAGTGCTTGGCCCCTGCACCTGTGAGGGAGACCCAGAGGAGGCTCTTGGTTCCTGGCTTCAAATTGGCTCAGCTCCGGCCATTGCTGCCATTTGGGGAGTGAACCAGATGGAAGACCTTTCTCTCTGTCTCTCTCTCTCTAGATCTGTAACTCTACCTCTCAAATAAGTAAATAAAAATCTTTAAAAATATTTAAAGGCAGAGTATGTGTGTGTGTATATATATGAATAGGTATATATATGTGTATATATATGTATGTATAATCACACACAAATGTGAGTGCAAGAGAGAGAGAATCTTCCTTCCATCGTTCGTTCATTCTCCAAATGTCAAAACAGCCAGATCTGGCCCAGGCTGGGGCTAGGAACTCCATCCATGTCTCCCACGTGGGTGACAGGGCCCCGAATTCTTAGACCATCTTGCGCTGCTATTCCAGATACATTAGCAGGGAGCTGGATAGGAAGCAGAGTACACAGGACTTGAACTGGTGTTCCGGTCTGGGATGTTGGCATTGCAAGTGGTAGTTTCACCTACTGTGGACAACACTGGTCGTATTTTTAGTAAATTTAGGGGCAAGCAAGCAACACCGTCATCCGGCTTTGGAACACTGTCCTAACCCCATTCCTGTTTACTGACACTCTGGGGCTTCTTTTGCTTCCTTTGCCTCTGCCCTGGATTTTTAATAATTTCACTGTGGGTCCTCTGGTCCTTCTTTTTATCTCCATTTGTGTATATTCCTGGGTGGAGTCTGCCATCAGTGCTAATAGCCCTAAAGCTGGTCTGTCAACTGGATGACTTCTGCTGGCTCCTTATTCAGACGCTCACAGCTTCTCACCTGGGACTTCCCCAGCGGCTCCAGGTAAAGGAAACACTACCGGGACCCAGATACTCAGTGCAGCCCTGGCTAGATTCCCACCCAAGCCTTTCTTTGGGTCCTTCTCACCTGAAAAAGGGAGATTGTGGAGGAGAAAAGAGAGCTGGCATGCCCTTTGCTGCCACTTGCAGCCTTGTCTGCCTACCCCTGATCTGGGGAAATTGCTGCTTCCCAGCCTGCTCTGTCTTAAGAGGCCGTGGTGCTGTGTTTCCCTGATCCTGCCCCAGGGTTAGGAGTCCTGTGGCTCATCAAATTGCTGGTGAGAACTGCACCTCCACCTCCCCCAGGAGATGAGTCCAAGACAGCAGGTCATATCTCTAAGCGCCCTAGGCTCCTCCTTTGTTGATTTTTGGTTTGCAAAATATGCCAAAGCAGATCTCATTGATTTGTACTGAACTGAAATCCTGGTACCAGGGTTTGGGTTCCTAGAACTGAGCCATGGGGAATGCAATATAGAGTCCTTGCTCTCACAATATGCTTTATCACAGAAATCTCTCCAGCATTTTTACATTAATTTTATGTCTTGCTTCCTCATTGAATCTTTTGATTTGGTTTTATCATTGATTTTTTAGATTTTTCAGTTGTTTTAGCATGTCAGCTGCAAATAGCAATAGTTTTGCTGCTTTGGGAATTCTTATAACTCTACCTTGTTTCTTCTGTCTAGCTGTACTAAGATGTTGTATTGACTAAAAAGTTGTACTTCCTAAAATACACAGTGTTGCGTGGGAGACCAGGAAGACACTCCTGGCTCCTGGCTTCAGATCAGCACAGCTCCGGCCATTGCGGCCATCTGGGGAGTGAACCATCGGATGGAAGACCTCTCTCTCTCTCTCTCTCTCTCTCTCTCTCTCTCTCTCTCTCTCTTTCTCTCTACCTCTCTACCTCTACCTCTACCTCTACCTCTCCTCTCTCTGTGTAACTCTGACTTTCAAATAAATAAATAAATCTTTAAAAAATATGCAGTGTTGAATAGTAGTAGAGGTAGTATGGATAACTTTCAACAAAATACTCATTGCCTCGGGGTGCTGGTTGCCTGTCCCACTGTCCTGTTCCTTCAAGGGGTGGGAAATTTATTCAGACAGCAGTATGTTCTGCTAAAAGACTGCATTCTGGATCTTACTTCACCTGGTTGTGGTAATGAGAATAAGTTTTCGTACAAGAGAAATAACTGGAACTGTTAGGTGGTTCTTTGGAACTTTTCTATCTTGGAGTTTGGATTAATGGTTGGAACTCTAGACACCTGGCCCCCAAAATAAATTTTATTATGCTTTAAAAATATTTTGCTGGCGCCGCGGCTCACTAGGCTAATCCTCCACCTGCGGCGCCAGTACCCCGGGTTCTAGTCCCAGTTGCTCCTCTTCCATTCTAGCTCTCTGCTGTGGCCCAGGAGGGCAGTGGAGGATGGCCCAAGTGCCTGGGCCCTGCACCCACATGGGAGACCAGGAGGAAGCACCTGGCTCCTGGCTTTGGATTGGCATAGTGCGCCAGCCGTAGCGACCATTTGGCCATTTGGGGGGTGAACCAACGGAAGGAAGACCTTTCTCTTTCTTTCTCTCTCTCACTGTCTAACTCTGCCTGTCCAAAAAAAAAAAAAAAAAACACACACACACACACACAAAACTATTTCATGAGATATAATCCACATACCACATAATTCAGTTCAAGTGGAAAATTCATATTTTAGGATATTTGAGTTGGTACAAACACCACCACAACCTGATTTTAAGATTTTGGTTAGCCCCCAGAGAAACTCTGTGCCCATTAACAGTTACCTCCCATTCACCCATAACTCCTGCCCTAGGCAGCTGACCTAATTTCTGTCTCTATGGATCTGTTGGTTCTGGATGTTTCATCCATAAAATGCAGTCTAGTGTCTTTGGTGTCTGACTTTTTTCCCCTTAGTATACTTTTGAAGTTCATATATGTTGTAGCATTTTATTTCTCCCTCATTCATTTTTAATTGACTCAATAGTATTTGATTGTATGACTATATCACATTTTGTTTATCCATTAATCACTGGATAGATATTTGGGCTATTTTCACTTTTTGGCTGTTATATTGGCTGCTACCATGAACATTTGTATATGCAGATTTTTGTGTGTAGCTGTGTTTTCATTTCTCTTGGGTATCTTCCTAGACATGGAATTATTTGATCATATGAAGGGACTTCAAACAGGTTAATGGTGGGGTGAGCATTGTGGCACAGTGGGTTAATCCACTACTTGGTATGCCTGCATCCCAAATTAGAGTATCTGGAATTGAGTCTTGCTTCTGCTTCTGATCTAACCTCCTACTGATTCACACCCTGTGATGCAGCCGATGATGGCTCCAGTGTTTGGGTCTCTGAAACACTTCGTGGGAGACCTGGTGAGCATCAGGGAGCTAATCAGTAAATGGGAACTCTGTTTCTCTCCCTCCCCAATTAAATAAATCATATAAAAATAGTTCATGGAAAATGGAATTAAAACAAGTGGATTTTGATGAAAATTGAAATCTTCACATTTTGTTCATAATATGCATTCATCCCCTCATTCCTTGGTGTGTTTCCTTGACGTCTGACTCCACTCACCTTGCCAGCATTCCTCTCCACACCTCAGGAGTGTGGCCACTGGGCTGTCTGGGCTCTGGTCTTCATTGAGCTTAGGACAGGAGAACTCTGTAGAACCCCATCCACTCCTCCTTTGCCTACTTTGTTGGCTCTAGAGGTCCCCCACATCCAGCTTGCTTGTCACTTCCTCAGGGAAGTCTTCGCAAAGCCCTCTGATTCCATCATTTTCTTATACTCTGACACCATGTGGTCTTCCTTTGGAGCCCTTGTCAGTTACAACTTTACCACCTGTTTGTAATTTTTAATGTAACACTTTTCTCTCTTACTGTTGCCATGATCCCAGCCATATTTGTTTCTCCCATGCCTCACCTTTATGTCTCCGGCATCTACACAGTGCCTGGCTGGTGACAGAAACTCAATGTATGTTTGACTAGTGAACAGTTGAAAATGTCGTCATCCCCAACTTTATGATTAAATATGAAGCAGTATCCACTTTAGCTAAGGGTTTTCTGATCGTTATGTCATGGAAATACAGATCAGCCCAATGGTTATTAAGATTGTTCATTATGATGACGCAGATGTTAACAAAATGGCACAGCCTTCCCAAAGAGCTCACTAGCAACTAAGCAGAATTTCTCAACAGCGGATGAACTCATGAAGCTTATCAGACAATGAGCTCACCAGGGATGAGAATATTGTTTCCCATGGAACGAGGAAACCCTGGAATCTGCTACTTAGCTCAGCACTCCACGGTTCAAAGATGTGTATTTCTAAGGGTCAGGATCCCGTGGCCGGGTTTTGAGACAGGACACCTCCAGGAACTTCCTGTCTGATCCCTGCCTCTGGGGGATCTAATTTAATTAGATCAGAATGTCATCTGAGCTTCTTCTCTCCCTTGCTAAATGATGACACAAGAGGATTTTTAAAAAGAAACATCCTTCCTCCCCCATTGTATTTTAGGGACTAAGGAGGAGCTGCATAGAGCGCACTAGGAGCAAGGTCTAGCTACCTTCTGAACTCTGAAACTTCCTCCTTCCAGCTTTCTAAACTCCTGGACAGGAAGCCTTTTCAAGGTAGGTCACTTTTGGAGCAATAGCACCATCTTTTCCGAGGAGCCCAGGGAATGGTGGTGTGGAAGGTGGCTTCCCAGACCTCTTACAGCCTGGAAGAACATTTGCAGACTTGTGGGAGCAGCACGCCATCTTGAGTCTCATCAAGAAGCTGCCTCAATGGCTGGAGGCACATCCTGCGGTGGTTGCTGTGGGCCCTAAGGAAAAACGCTCTGCCTCGTGACACACAGGGGACTTGATTGCTGCTCTCTCCTCCGATTCCTTTTGTTTCTCCTGTTTCACACTTGCTGTTCCCTCTTTTCCCCTGGTCTGAGGTTGAGGTCCTCATATGCAGACCTTGAGATGAGGATGCCTGTGCAAGTGACAAATGGAAGACATGCTCCCAGGTCCCCAGGAGAGAGCAGGAGGAGAAACAGAGGCAGAGAGGGCAGGTGCCGGCTGTGAACTAGGCAGTGTCCACCCCAGAAGGAAGTTTCCACCAGATCCTGCAGAGGATGCTAGGATGTGTGTTATACTGCTGTCCCCATCCATTGTTGGTTAAGGCCCTGCAGGGATGGGGAGTACAGGGATTCTCAGTTTCTGATCCTTGCACCTGTGCCCAAACCTGGCCCAGAGGCCCCAGGGTCAGTCTCTGCAGAAGAACTGCAGGTGCTGGCTGCTGGAGACAAAAGCACAGGAAACATGGAGGGCTACACAGAAACAGTGAAAAGCTACCCCAGGTGAGGGGCGTGATGTCCATTTCCCGTTTCCAAGTTGTGCACTATGGTTGGAGGGTACCTGTGGATGAGCTATTGCCTGCTCCCCTAGCCCTACTGAAAAACACTTGGCTTCCTCATTCTTTCATTCCCCTGCCACCGCTCAAGTGCTGACCCAACTCTTTCTGCAGGAGCTGTGGTGATAGCTTCAGAGGTCCCTTTGTTTTCCAAACCACGTCAACAGCTGCCAGCTTAGTCTTCACCAGGTCATTCACTTTTCAATTACGGCTTTTCAGTGCTTTAATTATGCAGTTAAAACTCCTTTACCAAGTACTGGAGGCCTCTGAGAATCTGGCTTCAACTTTCCTGTCTGGTCACTGAGTCTTATTTTCCCTGAGGAAGACCCTCAGCCTCGGAGATTTGAGACAGGGAGGGACTTAGAGTCTGAGGACATTATAGGTGTGGATTCTGCTCTGGGACCAACCGCCTGTGTGATCACTGATACATCACTTCTTTCTCCCAGGCTGAATGTCCTGATCCATACATGAGCTTTGTAAATGGTTGTGAGGATTCTGTTGGATACAGCATAGAGGGAATTAGACCACTGTGCGGAGATACCTCTGCCAGGGAAATGGTAGCTGAATCCAAGTCTATGAAGTTTCTATGAACATGAACCATGCCCTGGTAGACTTCCCTTGCTGGGCTTTGTACCTGAAATTCCTGCTTATTCCTATTGGCCAGAATCCTGCACATCCTTCAAGGCTGGGATGAAGACTCCCCTCCATTGTGCTGAGTTTCCTTAATGCCTGAACCCTAAAGTGATCAGAGCCACCTTTGGGTTCTCACTATCTTCTATTATGTCTCTGATAATTTCTTTCTCCACTATTTTAGAATTTTTTTCCCCGTAGAAGTTCTTTTTTTTTTTTTTTTTTTTTTTGACAGGCAGAGTGGACAGTGAGAGAGAGAGAGACAGAGAGAAAGGTCTTCCTTTGCCGTTGGTTCACCCTCCAATGGCCGCCGCGGCCGGCGCGCTGCGGCCGGCGCACTGCGCTGATCCGATGGCAGGAGCCAGGAGCCAGGAGCCAGGTGCTTTTCCTGGTCTCCCATGGGGTGCAGGGCCCCAAGCACCCTGGGCCCATCCTCCACTGCACTCCCTGGCCACAGCAGAGGGCTGGCCTGGAAGAGGGGCAACCGGGACAGAATCCGGCGCCCCGACCGGGACTAGAACCCGGTGTGCCGGCGCCGCTAGGCGGAGGATTAGCCTAGTGAGCCGCGGCGCCGGCCTCCCCGTAGAAGTTCTAATTAGTCTGATATTTTATCCATAGGTTGGTCTTTTAATTTTCCTAGCATCTTATCTTTCTCTTATTTTTTGAGAAGTCATCTGGATTTATTTTTCAGTCCTAGTAGTGAATGTTCCTCTGCTTGCAGTCATTAAAAAATTCCCACTAGCTCTTTTTTTTTTTTGATTGAGGGGTGACTCTAATTTTTCCTCTTGACATAGCATCTTATTTTTGTTTTATGGGTAAAATTACCAATTATAGCTTTTTTCCATTCTATAGCCAAATTTATCTTTATATTGCTTGGAGTCATTTAAAAAAAATGTCTGTATTCTGAAATGATGGATCATCTTTGTTGTCCAGTCAAATTAACCTGTGAAGCAATAAAATGTCTGTTCATATGGACAGAGCCTGTCAGCTAGTTGGCTTTGTCCCTGGTAGATTGAGGACATCCTAAATGCAAGAATGGAGAGATGCTTCCTGTGGGGCCATCGGATTTGTGTTGAGGCATGCAATATGATGATAGACTGCACAGTAAGGTGGATGAGTAGGTAAGATGTGTGGCTTCGGAGGGAATGCAGCAGGGGAAAAGCAGCCAAAGTTCTCAACTCCTTTCACTACGTTTGTTTTCGTTCTGTTTCTCGGTGCTGAGCCTCACCAGGGTTTGGCGAGGTAGATGGGCTTTTTCCTGCAATGCCTTCCCTTCCATGCAGGCTCTGGGTTATGGGGTCTTCTGATCTGTATCTTACCGTGCTTGCATCCATCCTCTGCCCTATAGTTGTTTGCTAAATTTTCAGCCAGGGACAGCCCCTCTATCCCTTTATTTTATTTATTGCTAGGAATTTATATCCCTTTAAATTTTCTTGCTAACATTTTAATGGGAAGTCAGGTGAGAGCGAGTTAAATCCACACATTCAACTTTCCATTTAGAGCAGGATTTCTCACTTTTTATATAATTTGATAACTGTTCAGGATAGCTTTCTGTTTATGGAGCTAGGTTTTTAACACATGCAGAGCTGGATTGTATTTCAGAAAAGAGAAGATACCGTTTTATTCTTTGCTTATTTTGGGGAGACTAGCCCCATGTCCTGCAGCAGGTGCCCGGTTGATGTTAATCAGCTGAGTTAGCTTTGTCCTTGAAGCTCCATCACTTTCCTCTTTGTTTCACATTTCAGTGACCTCACAAGTGTGACTTCTCACAGAGTGGAGTCCCACACCAGGAGAGCCATTGGGATCTCCCTTTTAAACCTTTTAATATTTTTAGTCTTTACTGTGTACTTCTGCCAGGATTTGCCTGAGATGAGAAAGCAGCCAATGCCCTTTGTGGGAGATTCATATTCTGTACTGTGTCTTCAAAGCTGTGATCCTTTTGGCTGACTTCTCTTCCAAATAAAGACACAACCTGGGCATTTTATGATCCCTTTTCCCCTGCTTTCTGTTGTCTCCTGGGTTATTTCCTTGTGTAACATGCAGAGTTCTCTGGGTTACGGAGCATTCTTTCATTCCTTCCCCGTGGTCGTCAACGTGTGAAAGCGCACACTTGCGTGCATCACACCCTCTCAGACCTTCCTACCCTAGTATATACGTGGGACATTTTCCCCTTCCAAAGAAGACCAGGTTAGTGGTTTCTGCTCATCCAAACCAAACCACCAGGTGGAGCAGCCTGATGTGGTCCTTCAGTCCCCTAGGCCACATTTTTTGTTAAATGGCTGCCTCCTCCCATGAGGTACAATTTACCCTTTATCTAAGGCGTGACACTTTCTTCTGTTCCTCAATTAAAATGGAAGGAAAAACAGTTTCCTACATTGTAATTGAGAAAAAAAAGCCCATTGAGGAGACCTTTCTTGTTGAACTGCAGAAAAAGAAATTGTCGGCCCTGCGGGGGCCTCTCAGGGCGAGCTGGCTAGTCCAGGATGGAATCAGTTTAAGACAAGGTGTAGAATTCCTTCCTGCCATATGGCTGTGTGCTTGGGAAAATTCATCGTCATGTTTTCCCTTTTTTGTGATTCCATAATCAATACAACTACTCCAATTAGTTCACAACATGCATTCAATACCTCTTTTAACAGTAAAACTTGACACCTACAGTCAGATCTTGGTATCTGTGGTTTCTGCATCAATGAAATCGCTGATTGTAGATTGAAAATGTTGAAAACATTGCATCTGTACCAGCATGCGCAGCCTGTTTTCTCACTGTTATTATCTACACAATGCTCTATAACCATTTGCATAGCATTTGCATTGTGTTAGGTGTTATAAGTAATCTGGAGATGATGTAAAATATCATCAGTGTGTACTTAGGGTGTATGCAGAGGCTGCACTATTTTCCATGAAGGACGTGAGCGTTTGTGGATTTTGGTATCCATGGGGAGGGTTCTTGAAACTAATCCGCCATGGATAGCAAGACTGCGCACAATTCAAAACACTTAGAATTAGGCAGCATGGTAGAAGGAGCCTTGTTCTTTGCAACTAAGGAAGATGTGACAATGACTTTGAATAGTAAGCACCATTTTATATCTAGCAATTTATTCTTGTGGTAAAAGCATTAAATTTATCATTTAAATCCTTTTAAAGTATATAATTCAGTGGTATTATGTACATTCATAACCTTATTCAATCATCCCATTATCCACTTCCCCAAAGTCTTCATCTTTCCAAACTAGAAACTCCATACCCATTAAATACCAGCTCCCCAATTTTCCCTCCCCATAGCTCTTATAAGTTCCATTCTACTTTTTTTTTTTTTTTTTTTTTTTTTTTTTTTTTGGACAGGCAGAGTTAGACAGAGAGAGACAGAGACAGAGAGAAAGGTCTTCCTTCCGTTGGTTCACCCCGCAAATGGCCGCTATGGCCAGTGCGCTGTGCCCATCCGAAGCCAAGAGCCAGGTGCTTCCTCCTGGTCTCCCATGCTGGTGCAGGGCCCAAGCACTTGGGCCATCCTCCACTGCCCTCCTGCAGAGAGCTGGAAGAGGAGCAACCGGGGACAGAATTCAGTGCCCCAACTGGGACCAGATCCCGGGGTGCCGGCGCCACAGGTGGAGGATTAGCCAAGTGAGCCACAGCGCCGGCCTCTATTCTACTTTTTGTCTCTTTGATTTTGCCTATTCTAGGTGCCTCCACTGAATCAACAATTGTCCTTTTGTATCTGGCCTATTTCACTTAGCACAAGTGTTTCCGAGCTTCCTCCAGGGGTGGGGCTCAGCAGTACGACTCCTCTCCCCGCATACTCAGTTATGAGAATCCCAAGTCAAAGTTGCTGGGTTTGAATCCTGGCTCCACCCCTAATTCCAGCTTCCTGTTATGGGGGCAGCAAGTGGTGGCTCTTTAGTTAGTTGGGTTCCTGCCACCCATGTGAGACACGTGAATTGGGTTCTTCCTGCATAGCTTCAGCTTGGCCCAGCCCTGGGCATTGTAGGCATTTAAGGAGCGAACTAGTGGATGAGAGATCGTTTTCTGTCTCTGTCTCTCTCTGTATCTCCTCTTATTAAATAAATACATAAATGAAGTTAATAAAAGGTCCAACCCTGTTGTGGCATGTATTAGAAAGTCATTCCTTTTTTAAAACATAATGGTGGTCTGCTGTATGCAATTTACATTTATTCATTAACCTGCTGATAGGCATTTGGGTAGTTTCTACGTCATGGGTATTGTGAACAATGCTCTCTGAATATTACTGTAAAAACATTCATTTGAGCTTCTGGCTCTCTTTCTTTCATTCTCCTATATCCAGAAGTGAAATTGCTGGGCCATGTGATAATTCTGTGCTTATCTTTTTGAGGAACCACAGCACGCTTCTCCACACCAATTTACAAATGAGAAAAGCTACCAGGCCCAGGTCACAGAGGGGGCCTCTGAGGGGAGCTACTGAAGTTAGATGAGTGCGTGATGTGACTGGACAGTGCTTTCCGTAAGTGGGCTTTCAATTAGTGCTAATTCTCTTTCCCTTTCTGGTGCTAATTCAGACGCATTGGCCTAAAGCTGAAATTTACTTTAGATTCCCACACTCTTTCATTTCCTTTATAGGTTTCTAAAAGTAAGCAGTTCTCCTAATCCTGGCCAAAGTGAGTCCAGAACCTTCCCAACTCTATGAGGCACCTGGTACTTTCCAGCAGTTCTTGGGCTGATTCGAATCATCCTTCTCAGCCTACACGCAATGCTCAGGCAGCCTCTGGTGGCTGCAGGTCCTGGAGTCTGAAGGTCTTGAGAGTGATGGAACTGCTTTGTAAGTTGGTAATAATTATAATTTGTAATAAATAATAAAATTATAAATTATTGGATTGTAGACTTTTCGCAAATGCTTGACCTGGCCCTTACCTCTCCTCAGTGCGACTCTGTGGGATGGAGTTAGGGAGGGGCATTGTGCGTGGGCAGGTGCAGTGGCGCGGTGTGGTAAGCTGAGTGCAGGTAGCTCGGAGGCCGATGGCCTTTCTTTGCCGCAGGTCTGCCCCTGCGTCCACCCCTACACTTCCCATTTCAGGTGAGCAGAGCCCTCTGCCCTCCTTCCAACACCTCGCTGGGTCATTAGGGCTGGAAATCCCCTGTTACCTCTCCCAGGTGTATTGGAATCCAAGGCCTGCATTCCGATGTGGGATAAAAGACACCTTTCAGAGCTCCCCACAGGCTGGTGGGCGTTCGGGTTTGAAGCCAGGGAGGGGCGGCCTCCCGCGGTGGCCCTGAAACAGCGCTCCTGGGACGAGAGCCCCCTCCGGTGTGGAAGGCCAGTCTTCCCGTCGGCGTTTCCTGGGGTAGGGAGCCGAACTGGACGCTGCTGCTAGGGGACCAGAACCTTAGGCAGCCTTCAGTTCTCCCCTTGAGTAGGAGCAACCTACAACACTGCTACCTGAGAAGCACTTGGGACATTTGGAAAGTCGAGGGCTGGTGAGGAGAGGCTGTAAGGGATTCCTTTTGGGGCGGGAATGAGACGTCTTAAACAGGCATTTCACGCAGTTGCTGGGACCCTGGAGGGCGTCCCTTTTCAGTGGGTGTAGTTCCCAGGTTGTCCACAAGATGGTGCAGATACGCCGCCCACAGCTGGTACTTCGCTGAAAACGCCTCTCACGGTTTGCTGCTTTTGCCAGATCCCTGGTGCAGTAAATTGATAAACTGGTTTTGCGGGCAGGATGAAGCCTTCACTGTGGTGATTATACCTTTGACATTTTAAGCATTTTGATTGACTATTCAATTAAAAATGTATCGCATTCCCAGTAAGCTAAATGAAATGACAAATGTGTACAAAACTCAGCCGCGTGGTTGCCTAGGCAATCTGTGCAGGAGGTCATTGTCCGACAGGGAGCTGCAGGAGAACTGAGCGAGATATTATGCAAGCGCCTCCTGTTTCTGGAGAACTTGAAGCCAACTGGGGATTGGGTCACTCATCACAGTGGGCACTTCCTTCGGACACCGCTGGTCTGGATGCTGGGGGGACAGTGATCAGGAAAGTCCCGGTGCTCAGAGACCTTGCACCCTGTGGAGAGAACCACAGGGACAGATTCCATAGGAGAAATTAGTAGTGTGCCGAGTGGTGGCGCACCACGGGGAAAGTATTAAAACCTGCAAATAGAGGTGGAAGGCGAGACTTTAAAACAGCGTGTCAGAGACCTGAAGGATTGTGGGGCGAACCATGGGGAGTCTTGGCTAAGGTCCTGATGTGGGAAGATGCCTGGCAGACTCCAGGAAGGTCCAGGAGGCCAACGTGGAAGGGAAGAGGCCGTGTGCAAGGTCAGGGAGGCCACTGCTGGCAGCAGCGGGCAGGCGACGTGAGGCAGAGTGACATGGTTGGGGGCAGAGCAGGGGCTTTGGAAGCAGATGGATCACATAGAACTTACAGGGCACGATGAGACTTTGGGTTTACGTTGGCACTGATGGGAAAGCTCTGTGCTGAGAAGAAGAGTGGCGAGATCTGACTTCCTTGGTAAGGTTCACGCTGGCTCCAGCATTGAGAAGTAGGTAAGAGCAGGAGCGGGGAAGTATTAGGAGAAGTCTGCCATGTTCCAGGTGAAGGATAGAGGTGGCTGGAAGCCACTGCGACAGCAGCCGGAATGGAGAACTGTGGTCACGGTTTGAGTCGCTTTTGCGTTCATAGATTTGATGATAGATCATGTGACTATTTAAGAGGAAGAGGCCAGCGCTGCGGCTCACGTGGCTAATCCTCTGCCTGCGGCGCCGGCACCCTGGGTTCTAGTCTCGGTCGAGGTGCCAGATTCTGTCCCGGTTGCCCCTCTTCCAGTCCAGCTTTCTGCTGTGGCCCAGGAGGGCAGTGGAGGATGGCCCAAGTGCTTGGGCCCTGCACCTGCATGGGAGACCAGGAGGAAGCACCTGGCTCCTCCTGGCTTTGGATGGGCGCAGCACACCGGCAGTAGCAGCCATTTGCGGGGTGAACCAACGGAAGGAAGACCTTTCTCTCTGTCTCTGTCTCTCTCTCACTGTCTAACTCTGCCTGTCAAAAAAATAAAAATAAATAAATAAAAATAAAAAAATAAAAAAAATAAAAAAAGGAGGAAGGGCCAGGTCAAGGATGACCCCAAGGTTATTTCCCTGAGCAACTGGGCAGATGGGGTTGCCATCAACTGGGATGAACTGGAGGGGCAGGTTTTTTGGGGAAAGATCAGGAGCTCAGTTTTGGATGTGCTGAGTTTGGGATGTCCACGTGGAAAGGTGGATCTGAGAACCTGGAGTTCAGGGTTAGGGTGCAGGCTGAGATGTGCCTTTGGGCGAGTAGGTCTGTAGATGGTATTTAAAGGCACAGCCTGCAATGAGAATGGAGAGACAAGAGCTGGAGTCCCAGGACTGAGCCTGGATGCACCCCAGCATTCGGATGTTGGACAGGTGAGGAGAGGCCAGCACAGGGGACGAAGGAGGGGAGACCAGTGAGTCCCAAAGAGTGAGGTGTCCTGGAAGCAGGGAAGGAGAAGGCCACAGGAGCACGAGGTCGGCCGCGTTGGCTGTTGCTGCTCCCAGGCAAGCGCTCGGATCCCTCTCCACTGGTTTCTGCGCCTTAGCCTGGCCCATGATTGGGGCTGGCTGCGCTGTGGTTGTCAGGACATATCCTGCACACCGCAGCATTTTTAGCAGCCCCTGTTTGCTTGCTGACCATGAGGCACAGCCTTAACCCCAGCACTGGGGATCTCAAGTTCTGGGGGAGGAAGTTCTCCTGGACCGGCTGGCACCCTGGAGTTGGCTGGAAAGGCCAGTGGGACATTGACAGGGTACCTGGAATGGTGTGCAGAGGGCAGCTCAGCCAGGGAAAAATCCCGGATTCCTGACGCAGTTGTCCGTGTAGAGACCAGGGTTTCCTTTGGGGGTCATGGAAACAGTTCTATCAGCTCCAGGATCTCTTGCCTCAGGCACGGACATGGTTTCCATGACATCCGTCCTCCCCACAAAGGAAGACTGGAGCTCAAGTGGCTTTTCCTCCAGAATGTAACGTAGGGAGATGGAGGCATGATAACACATGTTCTACCACTGACCAGCCATGATTCAAGAAGAAAAACTGCTCCGCTGCCCTCCTCACCTCTCCCACCTCCCAGCCTCCGGCAGCTTTCCAAAGTGGAATATCAGAAACTTGCCTTCCGCCCAGTTTCCAGATACAAGATCCGATTGCTTTTCTCCCCATTGGAATATAAAATGAATTTATTACTTTCCTTAAATTTGATTTAAAAATCTCTTTCCTTTCAACACACTCACACTCACTCACACACACACACACACACAGTGGTGGTGAAATTTGACATCTTTTGAAAACAACTACACTAGGAGGCTTTATTTATTTATTTTTGACAGGCAGAGTTAGACAGAGGGAGAGAGACAGAGAGAAAGGTCTTCCTTTTCCATTGGCTTACCCCCTAGATGGCCACTACGGCTAGCGTGCTGCACCGATCCAAAGCCAGGAGCCAGGTACTTCCTCCTGGTCTCCCATGCAGGTGCAGGGCCCAAGCACTTGGGCCATCCTCCACTGCACTCCCGGGCCACAGCAGAGAGCTGGCCTGGAAGAGGAGCAACCGGGACAGAATCCGGCGCTCCAACCAGGACTAGAACCCGGGGTGCTGGCGCCGCAGGTGGAGGATTAGCCTAGTGAGCGTGGCGCTGGCCCACTAGGAGGCTTTATTGAACACTTGTTGGAGTAATTGCTTTTCTGTGATTTAAAAAAAAAAAGATTTATTTAATTATTTGAGAGGCAGCATTATAGACGGAGAGAGGGAGAGAAAGAGAGAGTCTGCCATCCTATGGTTCACTCCGCAGTAGCCGCAATAGCCAGAGCCGGATGGATCTGAAGCCAGGAGCCAGGAGCCAGGAGCTTCTTCCGGGTCTCCCATGTGGGTGCAGGGGCCCAAGCACCTGGGCCATCATTCTCTGCTTTCCCAGGCCTTAAGCAGAGAACTGTATCAGAAGTGGAGCAGCCAGGAATCAAGTCAGTGCCTGTATGCGATGCCGGCACCGCAGACAGAGACTTAACCCATTATATCACAGTGCTGACTCCTTCTGTGATTTATAAAAAAGCATTATTTATTTGGAAGTCAGAGTTACAGAGACAGAGAGGAAGAGCTTCCATTCTCTGTTTACTCCTCAAATAGCCACAATGGCCATGCTGGTCCAAGCTGAAGCCAGTAGCCAGGAACTCAGGGCCCAAGTACTCAGGCCATCTTTTGCTGCTTAGACAGACACATTAGCAGGGATCTAGTTCAGAAGTGGAACAGCTTAGAACTCAAACCAGCACCCCGAAGTGGGATGCAGGCATTGCAAGTGGCAATTTAACCTGTTGCACCACACGCCGGCCCCTTGGTGGTTCTTTTTTTTTTTTTTATTTTATTTGACAGGTAGAGTTACAGACAGTGAGAGAGAGAGACAGAGAGAAAGGTCTTCCTTCCATTGGTTCACCCCCCAAATGGCCGCTACGGCAGGAGCTGTGCCGATATGAAGCCAGGAGCCAGGTGATTCTTCCTGGTCTCCCATGCGGGTGCAGGGGCCCAAGCACTTGGGCCATCCTCCACTACCTTCTTGGGCCACAGCAGAGAGCTGGACTGGAAGAGGAGCAACCGGGACTAGAACCCGGTACCCATGTGGGATGCCTGCGCCACAGGCAGAGGATTAACCAAGTGAGCCACAGTGCCAGCCCCAGTGTTTCTTTTCCTTTTCCTTTTTTTTTTTTTTTAATTTTTTGACAGGCACAGTGGACAGTGAGAGAGAGAGACAGAGAGAAAGGTCTTCCTTTTGCCTTTGGTTCACCCTCCAATGGCCGCCACAGCCGGCGCGCTGCGGCCGGCGCACCGTGCTGATCCGAAGGCAGGAGCCAGGTGTTTCTCCTGGTCTCCCATGGGGTGCAGGGCCCAAGCACTTGGGCCATCCTCCACTGCACTCCCTGGCCATAGCAGAGAGCTGGCCTGGAAGAGGGGCAACCGGGACAGAATCCAGTGCCCCGACCAGGACTAGAACCCGGTGTGCCGGTGCCGCAAGGCGGAGGATTAGCCTATTGAGCCACGGTGCCGGCCCCCAGTGGTTCTTGTTCTGGACTTTTGCCCATATGTCCAGAGGACAAACTCACATTGCAAATACAAGAATTTCAACAGAAAAAGTCTTCAGGGTGAGAAGTAGTAAGTTCATTCCACTTTGAGGGAGATGTGAAAGTGGAAAGTATTCGGACTTTGGAAGGAGGCAGGGACTTGACTGAGTAAAAGAACAGAGAACATCCTGCATAAATAGATTGGACTGGCTCCTGGCATTGCATTGTCTTCTTGGAGCTTGATGGGCAACCCCCTTATGGTGAGTTTCAAGGAGAAAACTCAATCAGTGACTAACTTGCAGATGCAAACCTTACTAACTGGGTGTGGAAATGGATTGTTGCAGGGGCTGACCATCACAACCACCAAGGATGCTAAAAAAGGCAGGACTCACCCCTAGAGATTCTGGACCTGTGATGCACGTGGCCATTTGTGAATCATTTGTCCAATTTTCATCGAAATCAAAGAGTTACAAGTGTAATGCAAGGACAAAGTTTTGTAACCCGGCGAACCTGAGTTTTATCTATCTATCTATCTATCTATCTATCATCGATCATCTATGTCTATTGTATGTATATATATATTTGTAGTCAGTTTAGTATGTAAATGTAATTGGTAATATTTGAGCAGATAGGTAGTTGAGGACAATAAATTTTTGACTTTTTATCTTAAGCAGATGTGTGTGGAGCACGTGGCGAATTTCTCCCTTTCTCTTTTTTTCCACTCTGCCTTGGGAGTAAACACCATCACCCAGTCCCTGATTACTTTGCAAATGACTCTGGAGAGAGGGTCTGAACCAGTGACTGAGACTGTTTGCCAAAGGTGTTTCTGGATATTGATGTGCACCTGCCACTCCCCCGATGCGGTCATCACTGTGCACCTGCCACTCCCTTGGAGTGATCATCCCTTCACGCCTTCCCTCTTTATGGTCTCTGAGCCTGGAAGAAATGTCCATCTCGCATAGCATCTATTTCAGAGTGTCCCTGGCAAGCAAACCTGGATAACTTTACTCATCAGCAATGGAATAAGCTACATGTTTCCCAACAAATGGTCACTGCTGCTCCATCCCTTTGTTATTAATAATCATGGAGACCCAGGGGTTGACTGCTCTGTGTCTTCCACCCCTCCCCTTTTTTAGAAGGTTTTTATTTAATGAATACAAATTTTATATGTACAGCTTTTAGGAATATAGTGGTTCTTCCCCCCATTCCTGCCCTCCTTACCCCCATTTCCATCCCACCTCCTACTCCCTCTCCCATTCCATTCTTCATTAAGAGTCATTTTAATTGACTTTATATACAGAAGACCAACTCTATACTAAGTAGAGATTTCAACAGTTTGCACCCACACAGGCATACAAAGTATAAAGTACAGTTTGAAGACAAGTTTTGCCATTGATTCTCATCACCCCTGTTTTTATAGTAGCATTGTAGCACCCCCCATGAGATCCTTCTCCTTTGGAGGAAAGAACAAGACTAATTGACACCACTCTTCAAAGATCTGGCTTGCTTTGGAACCGGAAGCTTACGATGCTCTGGGATATTTCAGGGAAATCTCCTCTGTGGGATTTTAACAGCTTAATGCCAGGTCCTCACTAGCCTTGATTGAAGAGTTGTCT